TATATAACATGAATATTTATTCCCGTGTTAGCAAGAACCCATCACAAGACTTTGCCCTTAAGCAGATAAATCCAGTTCATACTTCACACCCTGTTTCTACAGCATCCATCTTAATCAAATGTACACCCTTGTCTCCAAGGGATATCTTCTTTTCAGGCTTTCCGACTAAAATTTAAATTGCATTTATCATATTTTCCCATGAATTTCATATGTCCCACCTTACCCCATTTTCCTTTGATTTGATCTCCCTAATAATTTAATTAATTATTCTTGTCCGTCTATTCACAATTTAAAATTAAGATAATTAAAATATCATGTGATGTTCCTTATCGAAACATTCGATTTACAGTTAGAACATCTTTTTCTTACGACATGTTTCGATAAGGAACATCACATGATATTTTAATTATCTTAATTTTAAATTGTGAATAGACGGACAAGAATAATTAATTAAGAAGGCAATGGCAAACCACTTCTGGATCATCTGCCAAGAACGTATGTGAACAGGTCCCAGTCCGAGTAAAGGATGGAAGGATACGTAATCATCTCTGCCGGGCAGACGTCCTTCATATCCATGCAGGTACAAGGACGTACACGGAATTATAAACCTACTGGGCGAAACGTAACACGAAAAGCAACGAGACGCTGGAATCAGAATCTTGAGATTAACAAAGCTGATGAAGAACCGGGCTGACCTATTTCTATAAAATCTTCGCCTGTTATAAAATCCATCGCCTGAAAGTTGTGATATGATTTCTAAAGTTGGCGATGGTTTATCAGCGCTTGGCTGCCAATTGGAGTGGCAACAAAGAATACGAATTACGAAAGTGTAATTCTCGGTTAAATTAAGAACACGGGACCGTCGTGTTTGTCCACGTGGCTAGTACGTGAATCTCGATGCGAGGCGAGATGTACAGCATACTGGATAAAGCCGGTTAAAAACTTGGTCCGCATCGGCTAATCTGATTAATGTTATCCCTTATTCCGCTGGTACTCATATTCACGGCCTACGGCAATGCACACAATATATTTTGGCCAGAAATCCTAAAGGAAAAAGACTGCTTGCAAGAACTAGACGTAGATTTAAAAAAAACGCACTAAAATGGATCTTTACAGATATCGGGTGGGAGGGAGTGGCCAAGAATCATCTGACTCAGAACACAGACCCGTGGCGGGCTAACGGGAACACGGAAAAGTCCTTTTTGATTCCATAAAAGACGCAGATTTTCATTTCGTGTCAGTTTTAGCGATAAAATAAGTATCGTATATCAACATTCACTCTGTCTTTGGCACTTTAACAACACTGTTTCAACTGCATACGTCGAATATCATGAAAATATAATGATGGGAAATGAGCAGATATGGATTTTGAACGAGGCGATCATTGCAAGATTTCAAGATAATATCCCGAAATTCATTTGGAGTAATCGAGGATAAACCAGGAGACGCCTTAGAAAGAGTAACCAATTTCTACTAGGTATCACCCAAATACATATCTGCAACGACATTATGACGCTTGAAAGATCAGCGGATATTACTAAAACGCTGTGTTATATTCTAACCAATTCTGGTGCCAGGTTACGTACTTAACTGTTTTGGACAGCAACGTTCTGTGATGTGACTAGCTCCGATAATGTTCGTAATGCTGTATAATCAGCTGAATGGAAAATCCCGAATTATGCAACGTTTTGAGAGAACTCAGCCGAGGTTTCGAATGGGCTCAGGGTTGTCACGTGACCCAACGCTTCAATAACTTCAAATATGCTGTACAGGTGGTTAGAGTTCTTCCGAAGCGGACAAAGTAACGCGATATTAACATATGTTCTCGGTATAAACATCGAGCACTTTGGATTATTAACCCTTTGAAGCCAAAGTTTGAATAATATTTTAAGAATTTAGTCCGTACCGACAAACAAAACACAAAACTTCACTACCACAACTATCAGTTGATTTCTACTATTTAAAAAGCTAATCGTTGTTTCCAGGGAGAATCATAATAAACCCACAAATAAAATAATTGAGATACTTCTTGTTAAAGCAGGTGGTACATATAGTTACCACAGGGCTTTAAAGTGTTAAAAACATCCAGTCTTAGTATGGTCCATTTTATGTTTCTGAGGAATTAGACATTTTATATTTCAATGTTTTTACCTTGGTTATAGAGCTGTTATCAATACCTTATCACGCAAATTCGACATGGCAAGTTAACAATTACAAGGATTAATAATTAATCATCATTCCTTAAAAATTTCGGCAATCATTATATTGCCATTTATAATTCCTAAAAAAACTATAACACTTCCCTTTAAAGTCTAACATGAAACTTCACGACCTTGCATTAAATAATTTACTTCACAAATTCGTATGACCATATTGTTAATATAATTAATTACCAATATCAATATGTAGATGAGCTGGGATAGTCAGTATAGTGACTAGCTACGGGCTGGACGGCCGGGGTTCGATTTTTCCTCTATCCTCTGCGTCCAGACTGGCTCTGGGGCCCACCCAGCCTCCTCTACAATGGGCCAATATGTAGAGGCCTCTAATATAATCGCATTCGACGTACTAAGAAAAAACATTCAGTTATAGTAGCCATCACGAAATTGCATGATTCAAGGTCACGGAGCCCAGGCGAGTGAAGACAGCTCAAAACTCGCAGACCAGCAAGCTGTACCAGTGACTTAGAGCCGCGCGGAAAGGGAGGGGGGGGGCGGGTGGGACAAACTTTACTTTACTTTTAATATCAATATGTAGAGGCCTCTAATATAATCGCATTCGACGTACTAAGAAAAAACATTCAGTTATAGTAGCCATCACGAAATTGCATGATTCAAGGTCACGGAGCCCAGGCGAGTGAAGACAGCTCAAAACTCGCAGACCAGCAAGCTGTACCAGTGACTTAGAGCCGCGCGGAAAGGGAGGGGGGGGGCGTAGTACTTCTGTGGCCTTGAGCATGGAATTTGGTGACGGCGTTACAGCTTCGCGAAGAATGTAACAGGAAATAATTAATATAAAATGACACGTCTTCCCCTCGGAGAATCCACGCCACCTGCAGGATGGACTACCCCGCTCTACCGCTACGCCGCCCGCCAGGGCGGTTCTGTCAGAATCCACTACTACGAGTCACGTGGCTGTAGGAAAGGAGCCAGCTCAGGGCCTGGTTACACTAGAAGAACCGGCCCCACTGCATTATGGGGAGTAGCTACATCTACAGATGTTGACTGGTTCCTGTTATAATTTATCTCCTCTCTTCCAAACGTGCAACGACGACGTCACTAGAAGATGTTAAGTAAAGATTTTAGACGAGGCAGTTGCTTCCTGTCTGAATTAACTACATCGAGATACTGAATAAAACCAAGAACTAGCTCAGTTACTAGGTATTCTAGGGATTACCCACAGAGTCGTTTTCGCGGCCAGAAATGCAAAAGACTTCATTAAACTGCAACCATTCCAGGACACTCCCATTTTCCTTAAAAGGTTTATTTCAATCTTATTCAACGCATAAAAAGATACTTCTCACAATCAAGTTTGTGTGCATTCAGCCTGTGACAGAAGAGAAGGGATTTCTCAGTTATTGTAGTGACTGGGGCCTGATTCTCGGCAAAGAGGCCGGGGCGTGAAGCCAACCGCCCGTCTCCGTCTAGTTCTCGTGATTGAGAATACTAGAAGTTTACAAGAAAGCAGCTGGAGTGATGTCAAGACAGAAGACAGTTCATGATAGTCGGCTGTCTCACTAATCGGCTGACCTTGCTTATACCCCGTGACAGGTGACTGGGCAGTTTATATTTGCAGATTTCTCTAACAGGCTTACCCTGTAAACAAGCGAGCGCAAACCGGAACAGACATACCAACGTAGATAATTAAGCCTGTGGAGCCCAGTTGTAACTATAGGTCCCATCTGATTCAAAAATCAATAACTCCTTCTTTTATTTTATATTTGTTTCGGATTATTCTCGCTATAAATGATAATGACCTGACAGACTTTGTAACTGATAAATGTTTTCTTTTAGGAAAGACTGAAATCTTAAATATTATTTATAGGGCTAAAACACACGGATTTTTTATCAAATCTAAAACTTCTTGACGATGGTGAAGAGTCAATTGAATAAAAAATTTTATTGGATATTATCCATCGTCTAGTAAATATAAAACGTAAAACGACGTTTCGGAGATGGGACTCTATCACTTTTCACTTTTTTTACTTTGTCCGGAGATAGGGATTAGCTCTATCTAGTGGGCCCAACTGTGTAGGAACCTGAAGACGGAGATAGAGTCTCATCTCCGAAACGTCGTTTTACGTTTTATATTTACTAGACGATGGATAATATCCAAGGAAATTTTTATTGAATTGATACTGATTTTTGTTCTTGTTAATTTTTGCTGTTTGCGGGTTTTATGTTTCGTACATTTTTTTAAATACATTTTGTGTTAAAAGCAATCAAATTTATTGCAGCGTTATCTTTTCAAATCATATTTAAAGTCCAGAATTTATAAAATTTCTTTAAAATCAAGTGTTAAAATGTCATGACACCAATTGAATCCAGATTCCTACCATACCATACGACAGCGTCGTTTGAATTTCTTTCTACCAGAGTTACCACCGTCAGAACTTAACTTAATTACTTTCCGCATGGCAAAAATGGCGCACTCGTTCAGTCAACCGTGACGGACATTGGCTATTATTATATGATTATATATTGTAGGAGAAACACGAAGCAGGCATTCAAAGTCGATGTACGCTTTTAACTCGATGAAAAAATGCTGGAAAAGATCAGTAAATCGTTTGGACTATAATTTTACAACAGATGTCCAGTCCAGTGGCGGGTTTCGTGGTGACCTATTCCGCAGACCAGCCGTCTCTTCAATAGAGCAGCGGGCTGTCTAGTGTAACTGGGCGTTTCCTGACCCCCAGGGAAACCAAAAATAGTTTTACATTCCGTAGGACTCTAATAATAATAGCTCAAATACGATTAGGAACACAACACACAGACACAGAAATTGTTACTTGTATGTTGAGGTACGCACATGCGCATTACGACTCGCAATGTATACTTAGAGAGGCAAAAATCAGCGTATTATATTGTTGAAATAATCGAGGGGCAGTGGGTTCAGACAGACGGTCAGTTCGTGGTGAACGACAGTGCTGCTAGGCTCGCCGGGACAACCCACACGGTCATCATACTCCCGCTGACGCCCATTCTTGTCGAAACGGCGATCAAATACAGCCCGCCTTCATTACCTGCGCCTAGACTAAGGTATGTGCCACTCGCCTGTCTGAACAAACTTCTTTTCGTGGTTACACCGATGCTCTACAAGGCCCAGTAGCATTTGATTGATTTGTATCTTCTGGGTTGTTGCGCTGTGTAGTCTGGTCGATGTTTACCAGCGTTTCGGAGGTCATACTGCCTCCGTCATCAGGGCGATGAGTATGAAGATTTCTGTCTTCTGGGTTGTTGCGCTGTGTAGTCTGGTCGATGTTTACCAACGTTTCAGAGGTCATACTGCCTCCGTCATCAGGGCGATGAGTATGAAGATTTCTGTCTTCAGGGTTGTTGCGCTGTGTAGTCTGGTCTATGTTAACCAACGTTTCAGAGGTCATACTGCCTCCGCCATCAGGGCGATGAATATGGCCCTGATGACGGAGGCAGTATGACCTCCGAAACGTTGGTAAACATCGACCAGTCTACACGGCGCAACAACCCAGAAGACAGAAATCTTCATTTGATTGATTTATTTAATGATACCTTCAGCGTCTCAGACTGTAGGGCGTCGAAAGGGAGGGTTTTTGTTAGTTCGTCCTGGCAAATGACGGTATATTACCGTAAGTCATGCCAAGACAGTTTCCTTCCTAATCTGTTCCAATAAATGTAAATTCAAATCGGCCTGGATTCTAACCCAGCAGCTGATAATGTCTTGAATAAAAATTTTCAAGACTTTTTCCAGTACAATGACAACCAAACATTTGAAGATGGGAATAGATCCAGCTCTCCAAACGACGTGTTTATTAACATTTTAAAGCATGGCTGTAACTGTATTAATCACATGCTTTAACAACAAATAACACCTCATTTTTTATTTATGAATTTCATATTATTCATAGTTTACACAGCGATTATTTCCTTAAATACCATTAACACATTTATCTCTGCGGTGCGGACTGAATTCTTAAATATTATTTACACGAGTTTCAGCCCAGACGTTTAACATATTTCGTATAATCAACATTATAATTAGGACGCCGACAGAGACATGCCCAGATCGTTAATGGGGGTTGCAGACAATTAGCACCACGACTGTAAAAAAAATCCTATCAGAGGCGTCTTAATAACAACCTTGCTTACAGATATAGAAAACTCGGTTAACATTTTCTGTTTCATCCGAAACATGGTCTTCTCTTAGGGCTACTCAGATATGAACGAGTATGATGACGTCATAGAGTTGTTGTCATAAAAGAATGCATCGAGAGATCTGAGATTTTCACGGCATTGAGAATGACGACGTCCTTCTAGGCACCGGCGCCTTGCAGACTCAGCCTACGCGGCGCCAGTACCCTGAAGAGACGCTCCAGTTTTCCTTGAGCTACGTACTGGATTTTTAGATACTTAAATGCACCTCGGGATTCAAAGGCTGAACAGTGTCATTAATTTCGATGTTTATACTTGAATCAGACTCTAGCAATGAAAGATTTATCTTTGGTGTCCAATATAAGAACGTAATGGAGAAACAGAGCATGTGACTCTTAAAACTCCCCATGCTACTTGTATTTAAACAGGAAATGTTTTCGCTGTACTGAACCACGTGTTTTAGAGAGAGATCATACTGAATGCAAGAATGAACTATTGGTAAAAGTGTCATTGCGCTGGACACTGAATTAAGTTAATTCCGAAGTTGGCTACGGATGAAATTACGCCCGTACCATAGTTAAACACCTCTTTCAAAGGTGATTATTCGTTAAATAGCCTAATATTTATGGCGTACGTGTAACATTCATATGGAAATTATACCACAGACGTCAGGGTGAAACTAATTGTATACAAAACAAATTCGCGAGCTAGCTGTGTCACAAGACTTCTAATTCTATCTACAACTCTGAAGTTTTACATGTTCCTTTGTATGGGTATGAAACATGGTATCTAAATATATATTTATTTTCACAGTCTATACACAAACGTTGTAATTAAATGATGTTGTTAAAATTATATAATATTAAAACATTATGTAGTATAAAATATTATATTTTGGCGCTTTTTATCGTAAATAAACGACATGTTTCGATGGATAAGACCTCATCTTCAGGTTTATATCAATTTTATAATATTTTAAAATTATTAGATATTTTTATGTAATGTATTATATTGATTTGTGGTTTGTTTGTAGATTTTCTATTTTCATGATGAGTTGTTTGTTTGTAGTCAGACGTTTATTTTCAATATGTGTTGTGCGGAGTAACCTACGTCTGATAGCTGGTGAAGATAATCTGACGCATTTAAGCTACAAAATGGTATCTAAACCTTTGGGAAGAACACAATTTGAGGGTGTTTTAAGAAAAGATGCTGACGAGAATTTCCAAACTTAAGAGTTAATTTTTCTGTAGTTGTAACTCAAACAGGACAAACTCCCAGTCCTGTTTACACGGAGGAGAGTCGTGTTACTCCGTCAGCAAGGAAGATATCCAAAGCCACTAAACGGATTTCGATTAAACTTGGTAGTGAGTGTCTATATTAAAATGTATATTGAGCGATTTTATTAATTTTTCTATTATAAAATATAACGTGACTCTTGTTTTACACGGCTCGCTTTTCTCAGCAAGAAACCGATGAAAAACAGGCAGGCTTGTAGGTAGTAAAACATAGATCTCGTTATGATGTGCAACTTTTATCTGAAATGCCAGCGAATATTTAACAACGTATGCAAAAACAAGTTCTAACTATATGTAGCCGACTTCAATCGGATTTGAAAAACTCGATTTGTGCCTTCTATAAGTAAATATCAAGGCTAATGCGGAATTGCAAAAAGACAAGTATTACAGTTAGAAAACGCCTTTCTATTGTTAAAACGGAATGCGCTGTTTCCAGAAATATATATTATGTCACTGGGTATAAATATTTTCATCACGGTCAGAGCTTTAATCCCGAACATCAGCTCAATTTTGTTCATTCTCATCAACGCCTTATTCTAAAATTTTTCTTTCATACTCGGTTAAATAACTCCGTTAGGCGCTTAGGGTAACCTCGCAGATCGACATTACCTTAAGCGCCCAAAAAGTAAAATTATAACATAAAGCGTTTTAATTATAAGATAGTATAATTGCGTCATATTGTTAATCAAATATTAAATTAATTATTCGGTTTTTGTCCGTCTAATCACAATTATATTTAAAATTTACAAATAAGATAATTAAAATATCATTTTATGTTCCACAT